TTCCCATACAAATTCACTGACTTTAAAGAGAAAAATTAGGTAGATTTCTTTAGTTAGCTCTATTAACAGCAGTAAGAAAAGCTTCAATAAAGCTAGAAAAATGATGATTTACGTACTGTTTAATAAACGAGCAGGAGTGTTTTATCGGGTTTAAAACATGAGGCGTAGCCGAGTGGTTTTAGACCCGATAAAACACGATCTGCGAGTTTATTAAACGGCTTAAAAAACTCCTGATGTATGTTCTCATACTGTACCGAATTCTTTATGAAATGAGCCAAGTTTGATAGAGAAAATCCAAGTTAAAGTTTATGCAAATGAAGACGAATCTATATCAGATATAAAACCTCCTTCATGGTCATGATTTCTATTGTGTTTCCTTCATGAATTATTAATGAGTTTTTTAATTGTATTTAGAGAACTAACTAAAAATTAACCAAGTAAATAGTTCATTTAGAGTCAGTACATTTGTACGGAAATTCAAGAACAATGTCCGAACTTTTTGGTGACCATAACACAATCTAAAACAATTTATACTCCGTGACGGCTAGCACGCAAAAGGTGAGTTCTGGTGAAGTTGTAAGTGATTCAAGATGAATACACATTGTCGAAGTAGTCCATTATTAGTATCAGAGTATTAAACAAGGAAAAATAGGACCTCAAATTTGTTGCCGGTTAAAGGATGTTCATGGATAGAAGAAGGTTTCATTGAACCAATATTTCACATGCTACCAAAAAAGTCCTACAGTATATCTGTCACCTTAAGCCAGCTGACACCATTCTTGGTTTTGGACAAAAACATTTTGCACACCCCTCCCCTGACAGGATGTTTATAGTTCATAGAAGAGTATTTTTTACACTAACCAGGAGTCCACATTCCTCCACCAACAGATAAAGTTTGTAATTCATTAATTTGACCTGCTTCCAGCTCTTCTTCTAATGGTGTGTATTCATTCTCTGCATTCTGGTTCCCAACCCACAGCAGACCATAATCAGCAAGAAATTCCTAAAAAGCATGTCCACATACATGATACATGTTACTTCTTTCAGTAATCATGGAGTCTCCAATTTCTCCAGTTTTCCTCTCTCCACAAGGTTGTCTTAGGGTTCTACTGTATCTGCTGTGATAGTCTTCGGTTGGTTATGTCTCGATTTATTTGTTTTATCTTGACTCTATACTACATGTATTGATCAGTACGCGAACTGATATATATCTGGCGTACATGTGTATATATATACGATTACAATCATGTGATTAACTATAACGTAACTAGTTAAACAAAGATGCATTGTCACACAATATCATATAATGTTACATCTGCGAGTTAGCCATGCCCTGACTTAGATCAGCCCAGAGGTTGTCT